TTTTGGCCTTGAAAATGTTTTAAAGAAAGGGATTGATTTGTGAAAGAAAATGCTTTGAAAACCATGGCTTGTTTAGTCATGGAACCTCATGGCTTGTTCAGTCATGGGGCCCGCGGCTTGAGTAGTTCGTGGGGTCATTTGAACGATTTCATAATGTTAAATTGATGATTTCTTAAGATAAGAGGTATTGTGAACTGGTAATATAGTCTATTGCTGTAAGCCTAGATAGGATGCGGAGAGTGCATCCTCGGGAGCAGAACCCGAAACCGGTCCGGGTAGGCGAGGCACTTGGTGAGGTGAGTAATTTGTACTAATTACTTGCTGAAGCCTGTAATATGGTTATTTTCAGTTATATTTCCTTTGAGAAAAAGGATGTGAGGTTCCGGCTGTTCTGTCGGGACTGAATGTCTTGTTTACTTGCTTATTCATTTATTTATTCATTTATTTTAAATATTTCAAATTATATCCTACTGGGCCTTTCGCTCACGTTTTATGTTTCAAATGTTTAAAACCCCTCCCAGGAGACTCTAGGAGCGGGGCACAGTAGCGGGAGTAGCTGGGTGGTACTACGGAACGATCAAGTGAGGATTGTGTTCATCCTCTGACATAAAGTGTAAGGAATATGTAAGAATTTGTAATAAATGACATTTGGATTTACTAGATTGTGGATGATGTCTGTTGTAATTGATTATTTACATGTGCATGTATGTACGATACTGTATGTCCTGTGGAGTGGAGCCCTGTGTGTCAGAGGCTCCTGGATTATGTCGTTTATTTATATTTTAATGCAGTTAAGTGTGGGACCCGGTTGGGAATCTGCTTTATTAATCCCAAATCGAGTTCCACGTCACCCACCCCGGTTGGGGGGCGTGACATTTCGGCACAACAAAATTGTGGGGCAAATTCAGGCAATTTTAAAAAATTGTGTTTTTTCATTTTTTTTATTAAGTATTAGCTTAGAAGGGTTTGTTAGTAAATGTAGTTGCGTCCATTTTTGACTCTGTTGAAATGCAATCTAAAACCGTTAATTTTAAATCAAACAATTTAAAAAATTTTCGTTACCAATACTGTAAATATGTGTTTCGATATTGTAGTCATGCCTAACATAATAATAATAATTTATTTATTCATAGAAAACTTTATAATCGGACCTATTTTTTAACCATGAATAAGTATAGATGTTTTAGCCGTTGGATTTAGATTTCAACGATCACATATGTAAAGATTCACATTAAAAATCTGTAATAGCCATCACACGATATAAAACTGTTACGATCACGGATCAAATTGAGAATTTAATTCAATAATTAAAATAATTGTATATATCAGTAGTTAAAATACCTTTATTAATAAACAAAAACAATAAATCATATTAACTTTGCGGGAATTATGTATAAAGGATCTATATTACTTAATTTTTTAAAGTGTTAAATGTTGTTTAACCAATCATATGTTATAATGTTTTATACAAAGGACTTAAATATCAAAGCATGAAAAAGTAAATCAAAGGTATTTTCAATTTTTAAAAGACATGATATGATGTGATTAGTTAGACATTATTTTATTTAGTTAAGTGATATAAGATCATATATAACGTGTATGAAAATCATATTTATAAAATGAAAAAAAAATTCTAACTAAACTATAGACTCGTGCAAGTTTAACAGAACGTTATGAATATTTGACAATTAAAAAGTGCACAATACTGGCAATCATCCATAACTATGTTACAAAATTGCTATGGTTTTTACCATCATTTTTCCTTGTCCACGGGGCAAAATAGAAAAATTTAATAGTTTTGTTGTATTAAAAGTGGAGTGACTACGTTAATTTATAGACTATTCACATTATTGTTTTACGTTTTCTCATATTTAGACAACGTTCAACATATTATAAATTAGACAACGTACAAATTTTATGAAATTTAACGAATCATAGTTTGTGGTGTATTTGTGTTATGATTTAAATTATAATTTATAATTCACTATAGTATTTTTTCTCATAAAAAATACACGTAAATCGATAACAATTCTAAATCATAATTTTAAATTTATTAA